TTCCTTGAGCTATGCGCTATACACAATAATAAAAACCTCTATTCAACGAGCCTTCCACTGAAGAAAAATTGCATTAACCCAATGTCAATAGACTTAATACGATAATTATGCCTGAGGGATTACTCAAACAAATCATGATCATAAGCAATTAAAAATACTTGACAAAATTATTTTGTTGCAAGTACCTATTGTAGCTGTTATTAAGGTTACTGTATACAAAGTTTGGCCACTAAAACATGGTGAACTTATAGAAGGGAAGATCAAGAGACTCTTCGCCTCTGTACACAAAACATGATAGAGTTTTTCCCACAAAAATGAAATGCTAATACATTTAAAACAACATTAAACAATGAATTCTGGAAAAATTTACATGTACAGAGCTTCTATGATGTCAAGGACCCATAACATGATGACAGTGAACTTTAGTACTGGCTAGTGAAGATCAACAAACTTTTGGCCCTGGATGTGCATAAATTAAAACAGGATACAGAGTTTTGGCCAACAACATTATTATAACTGTAGGAAACTAAGATTTTATACTTACTTGACTGATAAGTTTGAGTGGCTCCAGTGAAAGGTAACTGATTGTATCCAGCTGATGAAGGTGGCATGTCATGACTAGAGAAGCCTTACCAAAAAAATGCAAAAACAAAACTTTCNACTTGGCTGATAACTTTGAGTGGCTGCTGTAACAGGTACCTGACTGTATCCCACTGATGAAGGTGGTATGTCATGACCAGAGATGCCTTCCCAAAGAAAATGCAAAAACAAAACTTTCAAAGAAATTCTGAAACAATATCATACAGCATTATTTTGTGTAATGTGTATGGCCATCAAGGTCAGATGTTAATCTGTTATATTAAGTTGTACTTACATCTACATTATTTTTATTAAATCTGTTTCCTACTCACTCTGAGTGTGACTTCTGTTATTGTTGTATCCTTTATAATTCTGACTGGCGAAAGCAGAAGGCAACTGATTGTATTCCACTGATGAAGGAAAGCCTAGACAGGGAAAAAACACATTTGACATATAATTAGAAAGATTTTTTCACAAACACGATGATATGTGTCATCTAAAAGGCTTCAATCAGTTTCATGAAAGAAATTTAAATATCTTGGCCATAAGCAATAAAGATAGCCAAACTCTTACTCAGAGCTTGATCTACACATAATTTAAAACATGACACAGAATTTTAAACCCCAAATAATTACTATAGATTTTTTTTCTTACTCTCAACGTGGCTTGTCTGGATGTGACCTGTCTGATACAATTGACTTGAAGACTGAATGACTGGGGTCAATGATAACTGATTGTATTCCATTGATGAAGCCGGCCTTTCATAACAAGAGGAGCCTTTAAGAAGAAAATGAAAACAAAACCTTTCAATTAATCTGAAAAAATGTTGTTCAGAAGTTGTGCAAAAAGTGCAGGGCGAGGTGAGCCTCTTATCATTTTGTGAAGTCATAATTGTACACAATCATTTTTCCTACTCACTCTGATTGTACCTTCTCTGATTATTATTATTATTATTATTATTATTATTACTATTATTTATTTGTGTGTGTGTGTGCTTGTGTGTCCTTCATGACTCTGACTTGATGTAGAAGAAAGAAAGTGACTGTGCGTCACTGATGAAGGCAGACAGATATCAAATATTACACCAAATTAAACTGCAAGCAGTGACTTAAAGTTTGAACTTTACAAGTCCATTTTTGACAACAAGTTCCTGCACAAAGATATGAAACAAGAATGATGACGGGACATACTAGTCTCCTCCGCAGCCGTTTTATGGGAAATTAACGAAATTAGCCAATTACCGCTTCCGTTCCATTTTCAAGAACGTTTTCGCGCCAAATTCGCCCTTTGAAA